TCTATATCTATATATATATATCTATATATATATCTATATATATATATATATATATATATATATATATCTGAGCTTATCAAATGTCTCTAGGGAGCTAGCTGAAGAGGTTCTGGACTTTAGCCTCAGACAGACTCGTGAATGTTTAAATGGTATATATGTATTAGGGATGTAAGAAAATGTTGATTATGGCAATATATCGTTATATTTTCCCCAGCGATATTATATCGATATTCAAAAGCGGTGTAGCGAAAATATCGATATTGCAATATATCGTGATATTTTTACTTGCAATAATGTATCGATATTCAAAAGTTGCGTATTTAATTTTTGGAAGAATTTACATGGAAACATTTGTGTATTTTCTTTTCTTGTGGTGCAATTCAAATGCCGACCACTAGTTGGCAGCAGTGTGCAATGTGTTTTGTTTCCACCATTGAAATTAAATCCTTCTGTTATGGTTAAAAATGTTAAGTATCAGTTTGGACTGTTTATTGAATTTCCCTATAATAAATTTAGTCTAAAAAATCGCCAATATCGTCTGACTGAATGTATCGCAATATATCGTGATATAATGTATCGTCTCCCTTGTATCGTAATACGTATAGTATTGCCAGAATTTCACCAATACACAACCCTTTATATATATATATATATATATATATATATATATATATATTTATTTTAGGGTTGTCACGGTGTGAAAATTTAACCTCACGGTTATTGTGACCAAAATTATCACGGTTTTCGGTATAATCTCGGTATTTTTTAAACGCGTTACATTTTCAGACAACCAAATAAACCCTGTATATCAGGAAAATATTGCCCTCAGTTTGTGACTAAATATTGCCTAAAATTTGTTATTTTGGAATTATGTTGTTTTTTGTTTACACTTTTCCCCTTTAGTCTTCAAAATACCAATATTTGCCCATAACTTTTTTTTATCTGTTTGATGTCATTATTTTAAAAATATTAGATCAGATGATATTCAGTACTCAAGTAGCCTTCTAATCAGATATTTTTTTTACCCTTACTTGAGTAATAAACCCTATATCAGGAAAATATTGTCCTTCCGGTGAGCTTTGCATTTCCTTGGGAAAATGTCATCAGGCAGTAATCATTGTTAAAGTCATAATTATTCTCGGAGAGAGACCAACTCTTATCTGCCCCTGGGAGCCCCGTAATGCATAGCGTCATTTCAACATGGCGGTGTCCGCGACACAGTTTATATGCAGGTAGCGGCACTGCAGCTGCTTTATAGGGGGCAGCAGCAGCTCAACAGGTTGATCGGGTTGTCCAGTAATTGAAAGGTTGCAGGTTCAATACCGGCTCCGGACAGAGAATTCTGCTGTTGTGTCCTTGGGCAAGACACTTAACCCACCTTGCCTGCTGGTGGTGGTCGGAGGGACCGGTGGCGCCAGTGCTCGGCAGCCTCGCCTCTGTCAGTGCGCCCCAGGGCAGCTGTGGCTACATCGTAGCTCATCACCACCAGTGTGTGGATGTGTATGTGAATGGATGAATGATACACTGTAGTGTAAAGCGCTTTGGAGTCCTTACTCTGAGAGGCGCTATACAAGTGCGGGTCATTTATCATTTATTTATGTAGCGACTCGTTGCTTTCTCCCTCAGCCCAAATCCTCATATCACACATTTTAGCTAAAATGCTAACGCTAACGTGCCATGCGTTGACTTTAGAGTTGTGGGTGATGGTCACGCTGATGTGTCTTGAGATTTGAAGCGTTGCTGCCTTTCACAGACACTTTTTCTGCATGTGCTGCAAACAGGATAGTCGTCTTCTATCAGCTGTCCCTTGACATTCTTCAAATATCCAAAAAATGCCCGTACTTCCCACTTTGTCTTCTTTGAGGCATAAAAAATGTCCTCCTGAGCGCTGCCGTCTCCTCCTTTGGCCATTATTTCAGCTTTAGCTTCAAGAAAGTTTTGGTTGTAAACAACAATGTGTGCATGTGCCTCCGGCAACTTCAGCAGATGATACGGTGGCTGGTAAGGGTCACCGCGCCTACACCACAGCCACGGTAATCCACCGAGATAATATATTTTAAAAAAACCAAGACGGTTATTATTAGGGTCAACTTTTTTACCAGGGTTTACCGCTACATCGGTTACTGAGACAACCCTAATATCTATACATAGATATAGATATATATAAGGCAGTGTTGATTGACTTAAACATACCAATATCTAGTTGCCCCCTATGTGGATCCGTTTTAGCAGGGGAGGGGGTGGTCAGGTGGTAATTTTTTAGTGTGTGAATGGATGACTGATACCCTCGAATTTGTTATCATCTTTCATTTTTTATGGTGTTTTACAATTTTATGATGTTATTTGTTTTGAGCTATGTGAAGCACTTTGTGATTTCCTGCCTGTGACGAGTGCCATATAACTAAAATGTACTTACTTACACTGTATTGTGAGGAGCTTTGGAGTCCTCCGACTCCACCATACAAGTGCGGGTCATTTATCATAGAAAATATCTAAAAAGCTTTAGTGTGTGTGTACTATCGGGTTAGGCGGTTTGTATACTTTTTCCCACCGCCAATCGTCAGTCCAATAAATGACGATGGGCAATTGTTTTGTGCATGTGACGTCATGACGCATGGACTGATTTGCAAACACAGAAGAATTCTAAACAGATTTTTTTTGTGTGGAAAAATTTCAGCTGCTGCGGTCCGAACGCACATTCCTTCACATTCCTTCTGCTCCCCGTAAATCTGAGTTAATCAAATGTCTCTAGGGAGCTAGCTGAAGAGGTTCTGGACTTTAGCCTCAGACAGACTCGTGGATGTTTAAATGTTGTTCTGGATGAATCTACGCTCCGCTGACAGACCTGAAGCAGGCACTGAATAACGAACACGGCTTCAGCCAAAGTTTTAAAATCAAGACAAATTTTGCCAAAGGAAATAACCAGAAGTCTTCAAGACTCTAAACGATTGAATGGCTTTCCACTTCCCACACCGATGGGCAAAAAGTTCTTCCCACAGCCCAACCTAGTGGGTATAAAAGTATATGTGTGCGTATTTATATGTGTATAGTTACACATATTTAGGATATCAGTAAATATCGTTCTCTGCCATATAAATGTCGGATATCTACATCAGCCCAACATGTTTTGGGTAAAGGACCAAAACAATCCTGTCCACCAGTGTCTCCACTACTTGAAGGATTTCTTCTTCTGAGAAAAAGTAAAACTGAGAAATGAAACAATTCCAGGTGAAAACTGTAGGTCAAACATTGATTTATTGTTGCAGCGCAGCGCCCTTCAACCGTCTTTGGATCGAGAAAAAAACAAGTTTTAAAACCTAATCGAATCTGGCAGAATCTGATTTGCTGTTTGGAAAGCGCCGAACGGAGTTTGTGTCAGTGAGGTGATGCAATCAGTTTTAAAGACGGTGGCCTTAAATAGAATCAGAGTGCCCCTCTCCCTTTCTGCTGCCTGCCTCGTGTCTCCTACCTGACCTTCTACCCAGATCCGATACGATAAGAGGTCAGATGCAAAGACACGAGGGAAGCGAGATTAAATCACATCCAGAGCCGTCCGAAGGAAAGAGTTTACTCTGCGTGTGAGAAAGTGACGGGATGTTGGGGGAAAATGGGGCAGGAGAGCCGGAGAGGCGGCCCACATCGGGCAGGAAGACAGAAAGATGGATTACACCAGCAGATAGGAGAAAGTAAAGGACCGGTGGAGGACAGAGGAGACACATTAAGGACAAAGCTACCGGCCATGAAACAGAACTGGAGCAGGGTCCCGTTGAAAGAAGCAGCGAGAGACGGAAGGAGAGCAAGCCTTCTGGGCTTTGAACAACGCCCCCGGGCCGCCGCGCCACGGCTGAAATCCCAGCGCCACGCCTTCAAGATCCCAAGTTTTATTGATTTTTTTTTTTTGCGCCGTTTCCCGAAGAAGCAGCGGGAACTACTCTGTTGTTTCTTGTGATCACAGCCGGCAGGCAGCAAGGAGGAGGCAGGGCAGGGTGGTTACAGCTAGGGACTCGTTTCAGACGAGTATCCAGTACGGATAAAGCATTTTTGACGAATACGAGCATGAAACGAGTAAATATCTGTAATCGTGCTGAAGGAAAATCCTCATTGGGTAACTGACTGCCTTCACGCTCTGTGATTGGCCAGTCACATAGAGCGCCCGCCCCTCCCTACACACAAAACTCAGCTCAGTCCGTCTGGCCCATCCACGCACGCACACACACACACACACACACACACACACACACACACACACACACACAGTAACGCATCTCTCTGCGCTTGCTTCACTGTTGCTCACGTTTCTTCAGTGCTCCCTAGGTTTTCTTCAGCTTGCCTCTTTTTTGGTTTAATATTTAAAGTTACTTTTTTCATAACGTACGTGATGCATTTGACAAGACTCGTGCTGAGTCGGTCACTGCCTCCGCTCTGGTTTTTTTTTTTTATTATTATTTTAACTCTCTCTCCCTCTCTCTCACACACACCTCAATCAACATTGTTTTGTTTAACTGTGTGTGGGAAAAATGCCAAAAACGTTAGGGAAAAAATCAGTTTAATCAAATTAAAACAAAATGGTTAAAAATACTTCATTAAGTCTACTAAGCAGGGGTGTAGAACGTGTTTAATAGGGCCAGTCCAGTAATGATCTTGGACCAAAATAAAGGGGGCAGAAAGTCAAATAAAGGGGGCAGAAAGTCAAATAAAGGGGGCAGAAAGTCAAATAAAGGGGGCAGAAGATGCTTTTCCAGACGCCAAGAAAACTTAAATGCCAAATCCCCCCTCCAAAGAGTTTAAAACAAAAATTATTCTTGTACAAATATTGGTGTATTCACCTTTAATACTAGTTACTTAAATGCAGCAGTTGCTGGATTAGTGCAGTTCAAAGTGGAGTGCATCAAATAAAATATTAACATAAAGGTGAGACGTGTCATAATCCCCCCCACCCCCACAGCTGGAAAAATTCCTAGGGGAAACATTGTTGAATGGTGTCTGGTGAGGTCGTTTACCTTCATGGGCGTGCGACGCCCAGAGCTGAGCCATCTGCAACCCGCTTGGATTGGCCGATCTGTACGCGGGGTCAGAGGTCAGGGGGGAGGGGCCTGGGTAACCTGACAGGAAGGGAGCCGAGTTTGCTGGGAAAGCATCACCTGCAGGAAAAACATAAAAGGTGTCACTCAACTAAAAACGGCCGGAGCAAAGCCCCGAAGAGCAGATTGATTTTTATTCTGAACTACATGAGCATGTTCTGGTGAGGGGAGCTCAATCAATACGTGCTGATGTTTCTGCGCTGAAGAAGCCTGTTGTAATCACATTACACAGCAGCCAGCCACTCCATTTCAACAAGACAAACCACAGGCTGAGACCAGAGGAGCAGTTAATGCAGCTGCTGACTTAAGAAACCACAATCACCACATCAGGAGCGGCGACGCCGACGGGAGTTTGTCAGGCAGCCGACGCAGAGCAGGGCTCATCTGGAGGGGCTTCACGGGAAATTCAACGCCCACGCAGAACTCTTCCCGTTTATCTCAGGAGATTCTGAGGCAAAAAACTGAATCTAAAATTAACTTTAAATCAAGAAGACAACAAGGAAACTTTAGGAGTGCAGCACCAACTCCAACAACTTTCTAAATAATGTAAGCTCAGACCAAATATTTTATAAGAAAGGTGAAAGTAATTCATTTCAAAAGGTTAAAGCTGCTTCCAGTGGCTCAATGCGGTTACCATGGTAACAACATGCCTGTATCTTTAGTTCTGACTGAAACAATGCTTGATGTATTAATGTGGATGTTTTTTATTGTGACAGAGACACTTGTCCATCAGCACCTGTAATAAACTCCTTTGATCTTTACCTGAGCGGAGCCAGGTGGGACGCAGACGAGTCCCATCCCCCAAAAACATGTGGTGACATCACCATTGAAGCCAGTTGCACCACAGAGTGGACCCTGATAAAACTATCTCAGTGTGATACAGTTATCGCCTGCTTTGATTAGACTCCGCCCACTTTGATTGCAGCGTGCAACCTTTGAATCATCACTGGCATCTATAATCACAACCTCAGGGGAGTCACCCGCTCCATCATTAATGAGCAGACAGCCATTACCCTGATGGAAGGAAGGGTGCTGTCAGTATACGGGGAGGGGGAAGGGGCTGGTGTGTGTGTGTGTGTGTGTGTGTGTGTGTGTGTGTGTGTGTGTATCTTTGCATTAGTCCAGTGGGAATTTGAGACGTGCCTTGCTCGCAGAGTTTCCTCTGCATCTAAATCAGTACATTAAAGCCACAATACATCTCCCTCTCACACACACTTTAAATCAATACCAAATGCAGCTTTCCAATTAATCACAGAGGCGCGCACACGCACGCACACACACACACACACACACACACACACACACACACACACACACGGTAATGCACTCTGCTGTTTTTCTCTGAACTTACAGTGTAGGTGGAACCTTTCACACTCAGCCTTATGAGACAGCGATTTATTAGTCTCTCAATGTCTGCATCTATTTGTGTGTGTGTGTGTGTGTGTGTGAGAGAGAGAGAGAGTGAGAGGAGAGAGAGAGGAGAGAGAGGAGAGAGAGAGGAGAGAGGAGAGAGAGAGAGAGAGGAGAGAGAGAAGAGAGGAGAGAGAGAGAGAGAGAGGAGAGAGAGAGAGAGAGGAGAGAGAGAAGAGAGGAGAGAGAGAGAGAGAGAGAGGAGAGAGAGAGAGAGAGAGAGGAGAGAGAGAGAGAGAGGAGAGAGAGAAGAGAGAGGAGAGAGAGAGAGAGAGAGAGAGAGAGAGAGAGAGAGGAGAGAGAGAGAGAGAGAGAGAGAGAGAGGAGAGAGAGAGAGAGAGAGAGAGAGAGAGAGAGAGAGAGAGAGAGAGAGAGAGAGAGAGAGAGAGAGAGAGAGAGAGAGAGAGAGAGAGAGAGAGAGAGAGAGAGATTGCAGTATCTAGATCAGGAGTGGGGAACATGGTCCTCGAGGGCCGGTATCCTGCACGTCTTTGCTCCAACACTGCTGATTCAGTGGTTGACCCACCTGTTCAGCAGCTCATCAGGCTCTACAGAAGCCCGTTAATCACCTGCTGATTGAAATCAGGTGTGATGATTCAGGGTTGAAAATAAAATATGCTGGATACCGGACCTCGATGGACCAGGGTTCCCCACTCCTGATCTAGATGATCGCAGCTATGTGGCGTGAGTTAAAAAAAAAAAACATATCCATAAAATAAAAAAAAATAAAAAAAAGACTAAACCTGTGTGTGTGTGTGTGTGTGTGTGTGTGCGTGCGAGCGATACCATTTGACCTCCAGAATGACTCGTGCTTTGTTCACAGAAAAGTCTGGTGAAGGGTTTTTTTTTTTGGGTGAAAGCAAAAAGGCACCGATTCAGATTTTAATGGCCGATACCAATTTCTGACCTGCTGATACAGATTCTGGATGATGAACAGAAAGTTTTTTTTAAAGAAATCTTTAAAAATAAATCTGATTTCTTTGCTTCGGATCCGCTGATGACCAAGCTGATGGTGCTGAATTTGGGCCGATTCTCTACAAGAGGCAAAACAATCAGTGATGAAAGTTTTTAACCAGCAGGATTAAAATTTACCACATTAAGATGATCTGTTATCAGTTTGGCCATCCTAACCGTAAATATGTAAATAAAGATAAGCTTCATTATCATCCCATTTGCTTACAACAGATGGGCAGGGCTTAGAAACCTCTGTTGTCCTTTCGCTTGTGGTTTGACCTACTCCGCTGTCGCTGTGGCTTCAGCGCCTCCATTTTAGACGAAAGAGTGCAGAGTTTAGAAAAGATAGAGCCCTCCACCACAAACACTAAAACATGCAGCAGAGGAATAATTACAAGCTATAAATACTCCCAATGCAACCATGAATACAACCCTGCTGACACAGAGAGAGGACAAACAAAGTCATCTGTCTGCTTTTATCATTCTTGTAACAAATTCACGTAAAAATCGGTTTACTGAAAGTTTCTTGTCCTGAAAATGTTTGAGGTGTGAAAGAGGCCCTTGGTGCTGAAACGTCTCACAGCTTCTGCTTTAGATCTCTTCCTACCATGGATTATTCATCAGATTACCAGGATCCGTGTTTGGCTATTACTCAAACCCTCATGGCAGGTCTGTGGCTTTTAATGTCGAACTTAAGCTTGGTTTATGCTTGACGCGTTCACTTTCCGCTTGGTGGTGCGGCTCGCGGATGGAACGCGCTTCACAACTTGCAGCGTTTATGGTTCATGCGGATCGTCTCTGCGGTGAGCCAATATTCTCCCAAACTGTAGGGGGCAGCATGGAGCTCTACGGCATGCATCCAGCACTACACCATAGTAGAAGTTAAAATGACTGTTTACAACATGGCATTCCAGCATTTTTAACAGCGTCCTCGTCTTTTCCGACAGTGCGAGCTATTTCTCTCCAAGAATTATTAACAACATGTTGATCTCGGTGATCTCTGAGAGCTGAATCGTACAAATGTCTGTATTTACGAACCTCTGCCATACTAGTTCTTGCCAGTCTGCCATGTTTTTCCGCATCCGACCGTCCGCGGTTAGAAAATTTCCTAGGTGCGCGGTGCGGAAAGTTTGGGCCGAGCGGAGGCGCGGTGGAGGAGCGTGGTTGTTAAAATGACGCAACTTTGCCGTGCGGAGCCGTGTGAACCTCGCGGACGCGTCAAGCATAAACCAAGCTTAAGACTCACCATCTATTTCTTATTTATTTACACAGAATTTCTCTGTTGTTTTTCACCTTTAACAGAATAGTTATTTGTGGCAGTTAAACTGTGGTGCCCTCAGGGTTCAGGTCAAACAGTAACTGTTTATTAAAGTTTATTTGACTCCTGTGAAACCAATATTAGAGCCAGCTAAAGATGGCAGATGGTGTGTTTATATGCAGCACCAGAAAACCGAATGATTGCCTTAGTTCGACGGAAGACAGACTTCCAAAACGTTAGTCTGGCTCAAGTCGAACTGGTGAAGTACCAGAATAATGAGGTGAGAAACTGGATTCATCTGCAGGTAAACAGCGCAGATGAGCTTTTACCTGCTGGACACGCCCCTTCAGGAAGTCATGAGATGGATGAAGTAACAACATAACACCATCAAACAGTGCTTTGTACTAAATAAGCTGTGCTGCAGCACTATTGTCCATTCCTTCGGCCATTTTGCACATCCTGCTCTTACTGCTTCGCCCGCTGCTATTGGCTAAACGGAAGAGCACAGACACAAAAAGGCGCATGTCGCCACCAACTGTAGAGGAGTGGAACACACTTCAATCATTTGGTTTTCTAAGGAACATGTAAACCAGGATAAAGGCTCCCACACTGTTGTCCTCGCTGCTCAGACTAGCCGTTAGCTCATCAGTCCTGTGGAGCATGAACCCCATTTCTCCAGGCCGAGGCTATTTAACGCATTGAATCATTCCTCCTCCTAGGGAGACCGTTAGAGAAATAGGCACGTCTCAACGATCCTAGTCTTGTTTCTTATACCAGAAGCATCCAGGCCTGTTTTTAGCTCACGGGAACATGGAGGTGTTAGAGATGGATCAATCTCAGGAACCTTCAGGCTCTTACTTCATGTCTTCAGTGTGCAAACACTCACAGCTTCCATCGGAAAACAAGTCCCACTTCTCTTCCCTTTCTGCTCCGTCCACAGGAGGGGGAAGAGGGAGCGCCACTGCACAACCTAGCTAAACATTAGCACTCCTTGTTCCAGGAACAACATGCAAATGTAAGCTGCTTTGTGTTGGAGTTACTGTTTATCACATTCTTTCTGCCCCTTCCTTCCTTCTCTCTCTCTATTGGAACCAACCAACACACCCCCACCCACCCACCCACCCACCCACCCACACACACACACACACACACACACACACACACACACACACACACACACACACACACACACACACACACACACAGCTTCTGGCTCTCTGTTCAAAAGACGGCTAGTTTACCACTTCGGGATAAGCGAGTTGCCAAGAAACGTGCTCTCTGACTCCCAGCTCACTGAGAATCAATGCTCCGATCATCAAAAGAAGAAAAATCTTGATATCAGAGAAAAGACGACTCGCTGGAGAGTAATGCATTTCTACTACACGAGAACACCCTCATGTAAAAATAAAAATTATGTCCAAAAGCCAGATCTGTAAAG